CCTTTCTCGCCGCCCGCTTGATTGTCACCTCGGCCCTGGCCTTCGTCTCGGCCCTGAGTGCCCCCTCCTTCACACCATGACACCAGGTGGTGTGGTCTTGCGCGAGGACCTCCCAGGTATTGAATACAGAACTACTTAACATACATGTATTCAGTAAGCTATGAAGATAAAAAAGTCATTACTATGACTCTCAGCTAAATTATTAATCTATTCTCGTGCATGCATGGCTTCCTTGAAAACGCAGATATTGAAATTGTTTTAATTATATTTTAATTTATTTATTAATTAATTTATTTTTTGAGGTTTAAGATTCAAAAGGTACTAAAGAAGATAGAGAACTAGGAAATCTTTCTATTTTTGGGAGTACTTCCTTTGTTTTGTAGGACCATATGTAATATCTGACAGCAAGGAAGTAAAAGTATTGCTCTGTGTTGGATAGGGTGTCCAACCTCAGGCCAATTATCAGGAGTAAAAATGCTGGATTTTAGTTTTATTTGGTTTTCGGCCAACCATTTCATAAAGCCCTGCCAAAAACAAGATGTCTCGCTACACAACCAAAATAAATGAAAAAGGGATTCCTTCTTGGTTCTACAAAAGGTACAAATATCATTTTCTCTAATTCCTATCTTTTTAAGAAAATCATTTGTCGCCAAATGCCTGTGAAGTAGTTTAAAACTGAAAAATATTAATTTGGTAGCTTTAGTGCTGCCGAAAGGGAGTTTGTAAACCATCCCCATATTAATTGTTTTGGAGCACTGAAGGTTGCAGTCGACACAACACTTCTCATGGCTTTTCCTAGGGCTGCTCTGTTTAGCGCTGACTAGCTTTTCCTATGCTAATCTATTGGATTTAGGAGCGTTTATGAAGTTTTCTGCAAAAGTGCTGAAATTTCTGTGTTTTTCATTTTGGTTTTCTGTTACATTCTTTAACAATTTTATGCACGATACCACACCATTATAAACAAGAAAATTTGTTTTGACGTTGAAGCGCTCCTTGAATTCATTGAAAGATAGCAAGTTATCTGTGTCTTTCATTAAATGCCTGACGTTTTTGTATTCCTTTGGAAGACCATGATTTGTAGTAGATAGGTTTATTTCCAATTGTCACAAGTGAATTTTACCAAAGAGGTAAAGGCCCTGTTCGCACTAAGTCGAAAATTTGAGTTTAGTGTTTGCAAAAAAATTGAAAATTTTGTAATCACCAATTTTTTGTTTTTGTAATCCTGTTCGCACATGAAGATGCAAAATTTTTTTAGTGACGGATGTTTGTTAGTAATTTGATCAATTTACCCTCAAGATGTCGTGACATGTCTTAAAGGGGAAGGTTTCATTCTTGGCATTTTTTCTCTTTGTTTCCTTTTTCGTGTTTTCTGTGCTTCCAGTAGCTGCAGCAGTCGTCTGATCTTTAGTGGATGTTACGGATGTGGATGCTGTGTTCAGCGGATGTGGATGCATTGTGAATCTGCTCGGGTTTGCGATGGAAAACTGTAAGAAGTACTGCTGTTGCGTAGCGATTTGGGAATCGTAATAACTTTGATTACCTTGATCTTGATCTTGGTAGCATTGCAAGCCATAATAATTGAAGTACCATGGATCGATGTTGCTTCTGTGCGGATTCATCTAGCTCAATTAAAATGGCGGGAAGTCATACGGTCACATTTGCTTCGTAATCCATATGTTGCAAAATTTGATGACCAAATGACGGATGGATGTCAAGGAACAAAGGATTTTCTCGCCTGACAAAATTTTTACAGCCTCCAAAGCTAGTTGACGGAATCTTTGAAGTTTCGTTGTGCTTGCAAAAATTTTGGTGGGTTCAAATAATCGTTCGCACTAGAAATGGCTGCATGTTGACAGATTTTTTGGCAAATCGAACAAAATTTCGCGTAGTGCGAACAGCCCCAAAGAGAGCAAATTTTCAGTGGAAGTTATGTTATTGTCATAACTGATTTCTGACCAGATTTTTAGAATTTCTGTTGTAAAGGCATCTGATATATGTCTAAACTTTGCCAGATCATTTTGGTTGAGGTTACCCTTAAAGATAACAATGCCACCGAAATCGTGTAATTCAGAATCGAAGAATAATTTCCATTTACCATGATTATCAGTCTAAATATTTTTTGACCAATGTTGATATGAGCGCTTTATTAAAAGATTTAATGTTGATCATCCTTAAACCTCCATTTTTATAATGACTGATCATTACACGTCACTAAATTTTGTCCCCTCTTCCACTCCAGAGAAAGCTGTAGAACATGTTGTTCATCTCGTCTCAGTCTGATTTGTTGGCAACGGTCACAGAATGTAAACAAGCTGAGAGGCGATTAAACTTTTTACTACAATGATTTTCCCCCAACAGGTGCAGACGACAATATTCCCAGCAGCTTAAGCAATTTCTAACCTTTAGTAATCTTCCATTGTAGTTTGCTTTCATGCTGACCGTGGGATTGGATGAAATCCAGACACCTAAGGCCTTATCTTTGTTTTGTCGTATTTTGTTGGCTAATATTTCTGCGCAAAGGATGAAAATATAAGGCAAGTGGGGACAACCTTGCCTGACTCCTCTTCCAGGGCTGAAGTAGTTGCTTGCCCATCCGTTATTAAAGATGCAGCTTTCTATGTTATGGTAGCACAATTTGATCCAACTTATTAACGACGATCTGAAATTGAAAGAAGCTATCATTTTCCATATAAAAGACCACTCAACTGTGTCAAATACTTTTTCGAAATCTAGAAACATTAACAGTCTGGAAATATTATGAGCAGCAGTGTGGTTTATTAAGCCATTGATTAATCTTATGTTTTCACCAATAAATCTTCCTTTGAGAAAACTGGTTTGGTTACTATTTATTAGTTTTGGAAGTACATTTTGGAGTTTGTAATGGCCTTAGCCGCTTTCTTATAGTCGGAGTTCAATAGAATAATTGGTCGCCAGTTTTTAACAAAGTAAGGTTCTATATCTTTTTAGGGTAAAAGTTCAATTATCCCACGTCTTTGACTTATTGAGAATTTTCCTTCAGTATAAGCATAGTAAATTGTGTTTAAAAGGCAGTCCAAGATTTCATTTCAGAAAACTTTATAAAATTCAATGGGCAAACCTTCCGAGCCTGGCATTTTTCTGGGTTTCATACTCTTTAGAGCTTGTAAGCACTCTGCTTTGGTTAACATGCCCTGCATGTTTCTTTTTCCTCAAGATTCAATGATTTTGAAGCGATGCTTCCAAAAAATAGGTCGTTAATTCGTGAATCATTGCAGTCTGTTTTGGAACTATAGATATTTCTGTAAAAGGTTTTGCAATCATATCAAGTTTCTTTGTCTGAGCTGGCAAATTAGCTTTTCGTTGGCATTGTTACACCCTGAATCAATTTGCCTCTGCAATATGTCAACTTTTTTCTCCAATTCTTCTTCTGCAACATTTTTGCGTTTTTTGTTTTCACCTATATCAGAGTTTGTTCTCTAACTTTTAACTTAACCATTTTCCATAACAAGGAGGCATTTGCTGATTTATCATTTTGATATTCGTCCCTAACACCCTCTATGGTTGCCCTAATTTGATTTATGTATTCTGTCTCTGATAAAAACGATGTGTTTAATTTCCAAAAGCCTGGTCTCCTTGGATTCGTGTGAAGTACAATTTGAAACGTCACCATCCAATGATCTCTTTCAAAGCCCGCCGAGATGTCCATGTGTGTGACATTACCCATTAGACTCTGACTCACTAAGAAAAAATCCAATCAACAATGGATTTCAGGTTTCCTTCTACACCACGTGTATCTCAGGATGTCAGGGTCAAATACCCTCCATGCATCAACCAAGACGAATTTCGTAGTGTGCTTGTTGATTGCATTAACTGCTTTTATGTGGGTTTTGGCAAGACCACCTTTCTTGTCCTTTTCTAGATTAATTACTAAATTGAAATTGCCACCCAAAATTATATTGTCACATCGAAAAACTTGCAAGTGGCTAAAGAAACTCTTAAAGGCTGGGTCGTCATCATTTGGTGCGTAGATTGTGGCCAGAGTCAAATGCGTGGTTTTTTTAGTAAGTTCTTCAAGTTTGTGGTCTCTCTCTTTAATTAAACTCTTCACTTTGCTTGTAGTGTTATCTTCTTAATTAAACGCAGCCGGACTGGTACATTTTTGTCGTGAATCCTCATTTGGCTGATCTAAGTTCGGCAATGCTATGACACTGAAAGCATGTTGCAGAAATTTTGGTGAAATTTCACTTTCATCTGGCTCACCTGACTCACATTCTGTCTGTGTTGAAATACTTGTTGATTCAGGGTGATGATAGACAGCAATGAATTGTAAAATACAGAGAAGAATGATTGAAGACTCCCAAAAAGGTATTCACCTTACCCTAAATCCTTTGTGATCAGGGTATTCTTGAAGGTTTTTGTCCACCATTTCCTGCACGGCTATTTTCAGGCAGTATGGATAGACATCACCCTTCTCCGACTTTGTTACCAAACTGGTGTATAAAACAAAGTGATGCAGTATAAGATATCCAACAACAAACACCTAGAGTCACAAACAAGTAGAAAGAATTCTTTCAAAGTAATATCAAGCTTCAAAAAGGTAAATAGGGGGATTCATGCTGACGTCATTCTTTGAATGTTTGCTCATTTGCATATGGCTTTGCGTATAGAAGTAAACATGTTAGATATGAATTTATTGATGTCTCTTATATGTGTCACGTGATACAGGCCAGTCAAGCAGCCACCTGCTGTGCAAGACTCACATGTACTTGAGTAAAGATATCTCCGTTTTGGCTACAGATAACCATGTATTTTATTTTTGATTTTGTTGTCATGAATATGGACTGTTGATGGTAATAAGTGATGGAATTTCCCAAAAGTTAAATTTGCAGAAAGCAGTGGCAGCATGAAGTTACAAGACGAAAATTATGCAAAATTTGAATTTGTCAAACCAAATAATTTCTTCATTAGGAGTCCTAGAGCAAAATACCTCCCTTATCTCCATCAGCACATAGAGAATTACCTTGAAGATTTCAGCTCTATAGCTTAAATCTTTCTTGAGATTTCTTTACTCAAAGGCTGAAAACCAACATATCTAGAAAAGTGGCTTTAAAAACTGAGAACAGAAAGAATTAGCTGTTTCATTCAGTGTGACTCAAACTTGCCAAACATCAGTTATTACAATTCCTTATGTTTTGGGAAGCAAATTAAAAGCCCCCAGGTTCATAACTGGCACCCTCTAACTCCTGAAGAGCTTTTTCCCGCCTTGTACAAACAAGCTGTAGGCCCTGGCGACGCTTTTTCTCCTTTGCTGTTACTTGGCTATATGCTTTACTTACTCTCTTTCTGTCCCTGATGTCAATTGAGCTACTTGTATGGGAGCCATGTGAAACAGAGAGTCTTTCCATGATTTTCTTTCTGATTTCTGCTCCTTTGTGAAAATGGCAAATGGCAGATGCAGCTGCACAACGTACCACCTTAGCCCCATGGTGCTTGTGTTTAGGGCACCTAACCCAAACCAATGAGTTGATGCACTCATTTGGATTTTGGGTTGTTTCTCTTATAGATCTTTCCAGAAGCTTGGACTCACTCAGGGTAATGAAAGTTGGTTTTAAAACTTCCAGAAATATTTCTGGCAAACAGTCATCCTGTTTGTATGTTTTTGTATCAGTTGCCTGGTCTTGCTGCCACCTGCACCATCAGTGTTCTCCTGGTGGACAAAAGCGATGTTTTGTAGGATCATTTGAATTTACACTATGGTGTAGTATTGCAATAACATATTTTTTTTATTGCATAAACAACAACATTGACTTCAACATTGACAAAGTTTAAGTTTGCGTATTTTTCGAACAAGGACTCCAAAGCATAAACACTTGCCTTTGTTTTGTATGATAGCTGAAGGTAATATTTTCAGAAAATTAAGGCAGCTCCAAGTGAAAACGTATCATTTTTTGAGCAGAATCAT